TTAGGTTTGGTCAGTGCCCTCAGGGTCCATCTCTCTTTGTCTCCCAGGGAATGCCAAGCCTTCCCGGGGAGTATCAATTCCTCAGGGGCCCTGAGGGAAGGTTAGTGATTCTGTATCCCCCGCATTTTGGTTCAGACACAGGAAATGTAACTGGACAGTGTGTGGGGCTGGAGAAGGGAATAGTTCTTCCTTCGAAGTTCTAAGCCAGAACTTCACGACTCTGCATTTGACGGTGGAACACAGGTCCTGCTGTGGGATTGGTTGTTTTCTGTTTGGGGATTAGTGTGGCTACTGGTTTCTCTTCACATCTCATTTGGAGATGCTAAGGGTGTGCCTCTGATCCAAGCTCCCTTAATTATCCTAATGATTCAACAGGAATTTATCAGGTAGCCGCTATGTGCTGGCCAAATGACCCCAGACTGCCTTCAGCTTAGAAAGGTTATATGCCATTGCTAAACAACATCACTGCAGTGAAAAAACTGAGGCAGGTGTCTAGGGGTGGAGAAGGGCATCCAAGAACCTGTTTATAGCTTCAATGCCCTCAGGGCATGAAGCCACAGGATAGCTAGGATGGACCTGGAAGGACTGGGTTAAGTTCTAAATAGGAGGAATAAAGAAATCTACTCAACTCATATCCTGGGTGACTTCTGGAAATAGCCTCCTGGGTCTAGTGCTTCAGTGCCCTGGTGGGTAGCTGTCCATTGTCATATTCTGGCATCTCAGTCTCTGCATGAGCATCTCCCCTAAAGCTGTTCTTCCTCCTGAAGGTGGTGGCAGGTAGTACGCCCTGGGAAGTCATAGCCTTTGTGGCCTGGGGAGGCCATAGCCTTTGTGAGTAGGAGGGAGTTAGCCAGAAGGAGAAGTCATGGCTATCTTAGAGACAGTCTCCAGGAAGGCGAGAGGCAATGAGGAGGCTGTTGCCCCTGACTCAGACTTGCGTAGGGAGTCCAATTCCTTCCTTTTTCTGGGCTTCAGGGAGTCTATGCTTGAGATCACTACTAGAGATGGGGAAAAGTGACTGCCTGACCCTCCCCCTCCATATTCACTTATGGTAATCGGGCGGGCTGTTAGGTTAGGTAATAGTTCAGTTCAGTCGCTCAGTCCTGTCCAACTCTGCAACCCCATGAATCGCAGCACTCCAGGCCTCCCTGTCCATCATGAACTTCCAGAGTTTACTCAAACGCATGCCCATCAAGTCAGTGATGCCATCTCATCCAGCCATCTCATCCTCTGTCGTCCCCTTCTCCTCCTGCCCCCAATCCCTACCAGCATCAGGGTCTTTTCCACAAGTCAACTCTTCGCATGAGGTGGCCAAAGTATTGGAGTTTCAACTTCAGCATCAGTCCTTCCAATGAACACCCAGGACTTATCTCCTTTAGGATGGACTGGTTGGATCTCCTTGCAGTCCAAGGGACTCTCAAGAGTCTTCTCCAACACCACAGTTCAAAAGCATCAATTCTTC